TTCCCTATATAAACTATAGTAAAGTTTACCCCCTCCCCAGGGGGAAACGTGAGACCCCAGGGTCAAGAAATTCACAATTTTAGTAAAGCACCTTAAGACCCTTCCATCTATGAAGAGTATTTGATTCTACCATATCTGGATCTTGAGAAGAAGATTTTTGAAATTTTAGTCAATTTTACCCTTTTTGGCCCCGCCCCTCAGGCCCCTGGGGGCTGGGGACCACATAATTCACAATTTTAGTTGACCTTTTGCCATGGAAGGTTTCTGCAAAATTTCATTGAAATTGGTTTAGGGGTTTTGGAGAAGAAGTCGAAAATGTAAATTGTTTACGGACGGACGACGGACGCCGGACGACGCCGGACAAAAGGCGATCGCAATAGGTCACTTGAGACTTTGTCTCAGGTGACCTAAAAATGAGTAATTTCTTTATTATTTGCCTTCTATATATTTTGTTTTGCTTAAACTTACAACTAACATGTAAACTAAGAAGAAACATGAAACAAGAAAAATGCAGATTGGCAAAACTGAAGATTAGAAAACATTTTTGAATTTACCTCGATGCGAGAAGTTTTTAACAAGAATATTGTCTTAAGTAAATTAAAATATGATATTACAGTTTTATCCACTGTTTAATGAAATTATGAATTATAAAATTCCTTTATACTTGACCATTCTTAAGGAACCTCATTCACTGCCCAAGTTGTTTTCTTTCCAAAAAAATACACATCCAATAAATATTGCATTGGGAAAAATCTGATACCTACAACAAGCGATGATATGCACAGTTGACAACTATAAAGTATTCAAGGTAAAGATGACGAGAAATTATTTGTATTATGATGAAAGGCTTTTTTTATTTCAATATTTACATGTTTTAGCATACTAGGTATGTCATCATCAGAATTTCTCTGTATCAATTGTTAGGTATGGTAAGTAAAGGGTAATGTCTAGACAACTGGTTTTAACTAGTTGTAACAGAGTGTAACAGCCAAAAGTCATTACACAAAAAGAGGGAATTGACACAAAAAAAACCCTCTTTATTAGGCGATCTACTTATTTCACATATTAGTTGCTGGTAAATTTTGGAGGTTGGATTTTGCATTTGGAGGGGAAACACTCAAGGGATTTGTGCATGTAATTAACTCATTCACCCCTGAAGACACATTTGTACTCTTCCAATTCAAAGGTTGGAATAGTTCATTATGAAATTTCAGGGGTGAATGAGTTAAACCACATGGTGCTGTTTCAACAGGGGATTGCAAACCAGGTGTCACTGCTCAAGGTGCCTTATACGGTGTTGGACTGTGATTCGTTAGATTACAATTTTATTTTTTACCTGTTCAGTTGCCAAGAGCTTATAAGCTCTGATTATAGGACGCTCTCTGCCCACCTGTTTTGTGATAACATAATGTAAATCATCTCCCTTTCATATAATGGGAGTTATTTCCCTTTGTAATTTTGATAAATCAGTAATAATAATAATATACAACGTTTGATAAAACGCTCTATCTAGCTAACATGAGCCACTCTAAAGCGCTTTAAATGCAGGTGATTTTCCGTAATATTTGACAAAACATTCAGGTTAGCTAACAGCTTTTGAATTTGATATCAAAACAGTTATTTCCCTTTAATATTTAATATAACAATGCTAGCTAACTCCCTTTGGTAAAATATTGCTTGTTATTTTCCTTCAATATTTGATATAATGGTCATGTTAGAAACCTACCTTTGATGTTTGATATCAAAATGAGTTATTTCCCTTTAATATTTGCTATGTAAGGGTTGGATAATTTGTTAAGATTGTAAATTATCTCCCTTTGATATTTTGACATCATAGTATTAGTCATTTCATTTTTATATCAATAAAACTTATCTCCCTTTGCTGTTTTTAACAAACTAATTATTTCCCTTCAAAGTCATCCAAGTTCTTTGAAACAATTTTAAATCATTAAGAACAACTAATTCAATAAAGTATTACTAAGACTCTGATGCTATTTTTCATAATGCTATCATAATTCTAGTTTTATTTATTTATTTCATCTTTTACACTAACATGGCAGTTGTGTATAATTAACTTAATAACATTTCTGTAACTGAAGAAAAAGATTAGTAAAACTATATATGATAAGCTGGAACTGATAAAAGTACTAAATTGTAAGAACTACATGATGTAGATAAACATTTGTGCATGGATATATGATATATAAATATATAATTTTGTATAAAAGATTGTGAGGTAAAGAAGACTACCCTATATTAACTGTATACTTGATACACGTGGTACCAGGGTACCCACTTACCCCATGTAGATTTCTATTACATTGGAAACATGTTGCATGCTAGGAGATAAAATTTGCCACTAATAAGTATTTCTGATTATTTGGAGATTTTATGTTTATATCTGCCTTTTTCCCTCAGAAATGTTCTACCGAAATATTTTTGCCATTTAAATAAAACAATGGTGAAATCTTAAAATTCAAATTGTCTTCACGTCATCAAAATATTGTTAAGTTAAATATCTATATAACAGTCTGCAGAGCCAAAGGTATCCAAACCTTATAAGCAATTCAAGCAGTAAAAAAACAGAAATTTCCTGGAATTCAATACATGTACTAAAAATTTGATTTCTTAAACTGGGAACGCCCATACATTCAAATTCTGTGACAACTAAAGAATGGAAGGAAAATATCCAAACTTTCTTTTTTACAAAAATAAAATACACACAATCTATGATAAGAAAATAATGCCAAAGAAAGCTTTAAATGATTACAAAAGTATATAGGTGGACTTTAAAAACACCCTGGTAGGTAGGGATCTTTTACATAATACGTAGGAAAGGCCTGTTACATGTGATATATTTATCAAACATCACACACAAATGCGTAAAACCCAAACACAAAAAACCCACAAATCAACTGAATATAATGATTATATTGCATTCCGTATAGTATGTAAATAATATATATTATATGTATGTATATGTATATATATAAACCTCAAAGCAAATATATAGTCCTTCCATAGTTAGCATGAAATAACAACTCACCGATAAAGACTTGGATCGCTCCTCCTTCTTGTCCGAACCTCCGGAGCCTCCACCTTTTCGATCGTTTTGTTCTCTATCCCGTTGTTTCCGAGATTTGCGTTTCTTTTTTTTCGATTTCGTGTCTACAACCTTCATTTCGGCTTCAGATTCACTATCACTGTCACTTGAACTACAACAGAAACCAACATTCGTAACATTCTTTTTTCTTATCATTTAACTTTTTCTTTAAAGCTGAGATAATGGTTTCTGCACAACAAGAAGTGCTGTTTTACAGGTGGCACAATGTGGCGTCCTCCCCTTATTTTCAGTTTAATTATATATGAAGAACAGTTGGGCCTGGAAACTTTTGTTGATCACGTAAGCTCAGTCATTTAAGATGATAGAATAACAATCTGAAGTTCAGGGTTCGAATCCCAGTCTAGCCAGGCTAATTTTTACATTAAGAACACTGTTGTAACTTTTTTTTTTGTTCTTCATCTTCATTATTATACGTGAGGGCATAATAGAATTAACTAGTTTCACCACTCACTCAGAATCCGGTATTGCTTCACGAACATTCAACTGGGCAAGAATCTTGAGGCAGCCATCCATCGTCTTTAGTGATGCTGATTCTATCATGTTGTCCACCTCTTTCCGACTGAGATTTCCGGAACTATGACTTTTCGACACTTCTTGATGATTTTTGCTACCACCGTTCACTTTTTGTTTTTTGTCTTTTTTCACTTCGTCCCCTGACACAGGTTTTTCTTGTTCTAGATATGAAACTATGGCTTCACGTAGCGAGTCGGACCCCAAATCAAACTGGGGGTGGCACATATCATGACTAGGTTCCACTCCAACTAATCCGGAATCTGAAATATATCCTGACAGGATGAAACAAGGAAAGACGAGAATTAATTTAACACCACCACCAGTTCAAGTATTGTAGCCCAAAAAACGAATGTAATATTAACCTTCACATGAATACCCTAAATCTTACTGCAGCTTATTTTTGTTTTTTCTTCTACTTTAAGAGAAGTTTGGAATATTCTGCAATCATCTTAACTTCGCAAATTGCTAATTGAGTGCCCAGGGCATTTATTAGGTTGAATACAGCACATGACAATTTGATGAATGTACTGAACATTAAATTTTTCACAATTTTTTATCCAGAATATTCTTTTCGTAATGATGTATGATACCTGAAAGTAGAACATTGGGTAATGCCATAAACATAAACATAGGAAAAGTTCCTAAAGTTTGACTTTCGGCTTTTTAGTCCTCCATAATGATGGCGAGTTAATCCTTAGAGTGAACATTTGTAAACAACATAAAAAAACATTCATTGTTATCAAAAGTGAAATGTGAAATTATCACTCGACGAATATGAGTTTTATAAGCATCAGGCAAAAGTTTGACTGGGCAAAATTTTCTCTGTATACGGTATGATGTCGAGGAAATCTGATATCTCTTGGAGTCATACCGTTTTCGCCGTGCGTGACTAATTTATCGTTGGTGTTGAGGTGTAGCCCCTTCAGCTGTGGCAGTCGTACAGGACTGTTGACGAGTCCCTTCTGCTCGAGGACCTGATGTGTAACGAACCGTGTTAATTCTAACACCATGTCCGTCTGCTTCCTGTCAAGTGAGCATAACAGCTTTTATCAAATGTCATGACTCAATTGAACATAACAGCTTTTATGAAATGTCATGACTAATGATTATTGCCAACTGATATTTCTTTCTTAATATTTTACAAAGTTGTTTTGCTTTGAAAAAGATAATGCTGGGATAAGAAAATCTGTATTTCCTGGCCAGAACTGCACAAATTTATGGTTCTATAGATCTAAATGTCCTTTTAAAGTGCAAAACATTGAAAGAAAATAAGTATCACATCTTCATCAACATGGATAAAGTTTGACTCAAAGACAATAAATAAAGTTGATTAATATCATGTTAACAGAACTATAACTCTTGATTAAGAGAAGTTTATTACCTATATTTGTAAAAAAAAATCCATACTTTGACCATATAAAACATTTATATTTCATTTCTTTTATAAATTTATAACATATTTTTCTATTTTCAAATGATCATTTATCAACCTACAAATGTTTAATTATACTGTATGATAAGTAACTTAACGTATCTACCTTAATAAATTGATATATATGAAATACCAGGGACTCACGCTTTGTTCTCCTGAGTTAAGTGGTATTCGAGCACCGTTTGACAAAGAACACGTCCCATCTCCAGGAAGTCAGCCACGTTGAAGTGTCGAGGTTCAGACCTGTAATATTAACTCAAATTGAAAATTGTGTGGATATTTTCAAAATACAGTAGGAAATGATCATGTCAAACTCATAAGGGATAGCATGAAGTTTGAATTTCAAATATTGTCAGAGTTTTAAAAGACAAACAAAATGTACTCATGATGAAGGTTGGGATCAATTATCTGTTCAATTTAGAAGGAAAAGCCTTGTGCTTCTTCAAAAATCTCTCTCCAGTTGACATCATACAGGAGTGATATATTGAATTAATCAAGGAAAGAACATGGCTAAAGGGAGATCAAGGGAACTCACTAGATTCTTATCAAGAATGATAGAAAACCCTACTCAAGGTAGGTAACAGTTATCAATAAAGGAATACAGCTCTGAACAAGAAAGGACTATATTCAAACAGAGACAATTGATTATTCATGTATCAAGGAACAAATAAAACTAATAAATGTGAGGACAAAAATATTACCATAAAATAGGAGACTGTTACTTTAATCAAATAGGGAAAACATTTCTGATCAAATAATTGAGACAACTCTCATAAAAGAGGGAGATAACTGTAAGAAAAAGGATATATATACTATAATCATGAAAGGAAAAATTGAAGGAAGACAGCTGTTAACAAAGAAGTGATATAGTTTTTACAAACAAATATAAAACTAAGTAAGGGAGATAACTATGAGAAGGGAGACAACTGTAAACAAGGAAGGGATAACAAAGGGAGATAACTATAAACAAGGAATGGATAACAAAGGGAGATAACTGTTAACAAGGAAGGGATAACAAAGGGAGATAACTGTAAACAAGGAAGGGATAATAAAGGGAGATAACTGACTTGTTGAGGATTGTACCACTGAATGTGGCTTCCAGTGTGAAGCTGTTGAGGATGTGCATCTGTCTCCACATGACCACCCGACCCGTCGCCTCCTTACAGCGCTTTATCTGGAATTTACACGACTGGAACGAAAACTTCTCAGGAGCCTGAAATAAAACAAAACCCTATCTGATAAGAATTATTGTAACCACAACTTAATACGTACCATGTGCAAACCTTTGTGTTACAGTTACTGTATACAGTACAGTGAGGTTAAATATATACAGGATGTTATGTCGGTATTGTGAAACACTGTAACAATTGTCCAGGTAAAGAAAAGCACCACACGGTCAGTATATATATGTACAATAAAATGAACTCAATTTCAGAAGGAACAATCATCTGATATAAATAATGAAGTCCTCGTATATAATTGTTAATATCTTTATGCATGAAAGCCTCAATTTAATGTGTATTGTTTCTTATCATTCGCTACCTAACTCACATCCAAGATATATTAACTTAATGTCCCCTTGCCCTTTTCTTCTTACACTTATTCACCCCTGATGACACATTTCAATTCTTCAAATTCCGAGGTTGGAATAGTTCATTATTAAATTTCAGGGGTGAATGATATTACTAAACCCTCATTGGACAAATCGCGGCAGCAAAATAAGATTTTACAATTGACGGCCATTACCTTTTGCGACATTATCCAAGGGAAAAGTCGCTCCTGTAGGAAAGACTTGGCAGCACCAGTTGTATTGTTGTCCCCGTCCTGTGAGGTGTTGTTCCCGTACATAAACACGTTGTGTTTCCGACTGTGTCCGTGTAAGTCACAATATAGCAATATCTACAACGCAACACAAAAATGCTTCAACTGTTTGACAGTTATATTCGGTAGGAAATATTTGCTCTATTCGCCAATGAACTAAATGTAAAATTCTTCAAACAAATTCAATTCAGAAATGGACACAAATGTCTCAATTTTTTGGCAGCTTTGTTAAACAAGGAAATTTTTTTGCGCTATTTCCAATGAATGAAATATAGAATTCTTATAATTATTTAAAATTCAGAGATGATATTTTCAAACTTAAAAATCTTCAATCCTTACTAAAATCTGTAAAAAGTCACAAATAAATTGTTAAATGTAGACTAGTCTTGTGACATTGAAAACAAACCATACAAAACTTGCATAAGATTTGTTTTTTTATACAGTATTCAGTATCTTGGACAAAATTTATGTGACCCAATTATTCAACCTAATAAGCAAATCAGACTGATAGCAGAATTTTTCAAAATTCTCAAAATAACTGTAGAAGACACATTTCCTGAACTAAGTATGTATGTAAATTATGATAAAGGGAAGGGCCTAACAGACCATAAGGAAAGGTGTCCTTAATAAAATATTATGTTTTCAAATGATTAGGTCCAATACGATAACTTACATTATGTCTCTCGAGGACTTTATCCATCATACTTTTCACATGCCACACAGTCGGGAAACTTTCTTTCCGTGGATGTCTGTAATTGCGATTTAAATCCCTGGCAGCGAGAGAGCACCTGTAGTTACCTACAATAACACCGTCTGGGTTCAACATCGGCACCACCTTGAAAATAAACACATTGCGGAGCTGTTTGGCACCGGGGTCGGGCCCTGTGATGAAGTCCAGAAGGCCCTTCATCATCCAGCTTGCCTGCGATTCCCCTGGATGGACCCGGGCCGTCACAACAATCACTTGCTTCATGTCCTGTTCTTCTTTTGAATTTTCTGTAAATAATGCCATTAATTAATGTACATTTTCATTTCTATTGAAATACTGATGAACAGCGATATATTGACAACAGTGACACACCGATTATCTCCCCTACACTGATTCACTTACTGATTCTATACAATTTTTCAAGTTTGCTTTTATATTTTGCTTTTGTTATCTACTTTCTAATAATTTAACTTCCGTTGTTCACTAATTTCAGATCATTAAATTTACTCCATTCAAAATTATCTCTGTTAAATGTGGGAATTTAATTTCTATCCTGAGGTTGAGTAATCTAAAGCAATTTCTGTCAATATGGCTAGTTTCTTTGACAGCAGAGTCTATCATATATAACTTGCCATTGGTAATTCATTGTATTGTGACGATTATTCAAGTACATTTAGTTATGAATTACAAAATTATTTTCCTTCACAAACACGCAAAATGGATGAACTCATAAACCAGTCAGTCAGTGGGAAATGATGTAAAGGACATTGTCTCTTTTTCTTTTCCTATTATATTTTTGCTAAAACAATTTTTCCAAGGAAAATACAACTTGCAAAATTAATGACAAATTTATCCTTCCTTACTGAAGAACTATGCACCATTGCCACTATAGACCAAAAATCGTCGAAAAATGTATTCCTGCTTTGACCATTTTAGCAAATTTGAGAAAATCAAGGACAGCAAAAATAAAGACTAGCTTTTACAGTAACATTAAGAGGTGATTTTTGTACCTTATCAAATCATCATATTTTCCTACCACAACATAAATTAAGACTTTTTACAGAAATGTCAAGAGGCGATTTTTGTTCCACATCAAAATCATCACATTTATCGTACCAAAGTTTGTGACCGTGACAAGAAAGCAGCTATTGCCGGCTCGAGTCTCGCACAATACTTCACGTCGTATCCATTGGCGACGCTCTGGTGAGTTGAGTAGCGAGTCAAGATCCTCTTTGAGGTCTGTGAATGTGTAGGGGTAACAGTGCGCTAGGTAATAGGTGTCCTCCTCATTAGGAAAACTCTACAAAAAAAAATGTTGGCAATATAATAATTTCTTCCGGCTTGTAGTTAGGATGGTTTGAAATTTCTTTGTAAACAATTAAGACTTTTATTTAAAGTTTCCCTGTTTCCCAATTCCTTTGTATCGAAGATCTGAACAATAAAATATTCTGAAATGAAATATAATTGTAGTGAATATGGCAGTCAGCTCTTGCAATTCGATATAAAACACAGTACAATATATGGGTTATCTGCCCCTGGTATCGACTATATTGTAACACAGATTGTAGGTTATCTGCCCCTGTTCATAAGTCTATGACAGGGGTCAAAGACCAAAACTGATTTTTTTAATTTTTTTTATTCTGGTCCTAACTTTTCTTTGTGAACCATCAATACAATTAAACATAGTTTATCAAGTGGGTTGTCTGCCCCTGATTTGAATTCTTTTGTATGGATCACAAAATAATCAACACTTGTAGGTTGTCTGCCCCTGTTTAGGAGTCTGCCACAGGAAATATTAAAAAAAAACTCATCAATAATGTGTTTTTTCCTGCCCCTTGTTCTAAAGTTTCTTTGTGAACCATCAATAAAATTCAACATAAAGTTGGTTGTCTGCCCCTGATTTATGATTCTGAAGTATTGATAAAAAAGCGACAATATGTGGGTTGTGTACTCCTAGCTCAAACTCTCATCATGTTAACTATATCCACGTGGTAAATTATGGGTTGTTTACCCCTCCTTCCGACTGTATTGTTAGCCCTAACTGAAGTAACGTATTGTTTTTATCCCACAGTATTAGAGTTATCTGCCCCTGACTCCCCAGTGTACCTACCGTCTGCCATTCAAGTTCGTAGTATGGGACTCCTCGCATGAGTAGTGGGCAGTGTAAGTGCATGATATTGCGTGAATAACTACAATACAAAATAGGCATAAATTTAGGGTGTGAAACAGGTTTTTCAAAATCTTTTTCACTCTAAGGATTCAGACACACAATATTATTCACAATAATATAATTCTCTCAAAATTTATTTTTTAAAGAATACACTGTCATGTCATAACGAATACAAAATATGAATGTTCCATTATGCATATACATGTACAGAATTAACACATCCATTTTAAAAAAAAAAAAAAATGTACATGTTAAATAGAAGAAAAGATGTTTTCTTGATCAAAAACAAACATTTAAAATACCAAACGGAGAGGTATCGATTAAAAATGACATAAATAATTTATGAAATGTAAATAATGTACAGTTTTACCTTATATGGTGACCAGCTCGAATCCAGCCAATCTGCTTTGTCTTAGCACTTTTTTCCGAGTAGCACAATGGACGCATGCCTGATGGAAAGATGATTTATTTCAAGTATAAACTTTATTTATTTTGCAACAATTGTGAAACAGGTTTTTAGAACTTTATTAATCACTCTTGTTGGCCTGGATGTTAGCGCACAAGGCGGGGGTGTCTTATTGTGGGTGGAAACCGGAGTACCCGGAGAAAACCATCGTGGTCGGGCAGGTGACCCCATACCTATTCACGTCCGATTGGGGAATCAAACCCCAGCCGCCTTAATGAAAGGCAAGTGCTCAATCCACTGCACCACCTGACCACCTGTTTATAGAATTTTTGAAACACTATTTGCTACATAAAATTTAGAAGCAATACTTTTTTCATACAGTACCAATTATTTCTAACTGACACTTAAGTGTGGCGATATGTATTTATACATACAGAATTAAAAAACAAGAAAAAGTGAACAATTCTTGCTATATGATGTTTCTTAAACCTGAAATTTTCAATGAATAGTATTGAGCAATATAAACAAAGCACTGGAAACTGTTTCAGCCTACAGCACATGCAAACCAAATAATTGTAACTTCCACAATAAACCATTCAGTTGATACGTCTTGCCTGTGCCCTGCTTTGACCATCAATGCGCATGTCAAGTTTGGTTGGTTTGGTAGTTATAGCTTCAGAGAAACTAACTTAAACGAAAAAAACTTGTTGATGAAGATGCTGATAAAGTCAATGGACCATGAAAGGTAGGCCACATACAGCATTTAATGCATGGTTGTGATGTACTACCTGCAGTTATAATCCCAGTTTGGTTGGTCTAGCACATATTCTTTCAATGAAAATAACTTAAACGCAAAAGGTTAATGTTGAAGCCGACGCAATTGCCGGAAAAGCAACACCTTAGTAACGCTTCTGCTACTTTTGGCGGCAAGACAAAAATAATTTTCAAAAATAATGTTTGTAAAACATACACTTTGATGGAAATGGAACTTGAACAAGGTCTAACCAAAGAAATGGAGCTACACAAAAAAATTAGGTCACAGTGACCTAGAGAAGTTAAAATACTTAATATACTTAATATGCATACGAAATTTCAAATATGGATTAAAAATTGGAATTCTAGACGTTATCTCATTGACCCTAGACGGCACATTTAACTCCAATTCTGAGGTGGGAATAGCTCATTATGAAACTTCAGGGGTGAATGTGTAGAGAATGAGTTAAATGCAAATTCGAGGCATGATGTTGTACACATGGACACACAAATTTTGTAATCCATCCACTGCAGCGTGGGCATCCTCTCTTGGAACCCAAACTTACCATAGTTGTAGAGACTGTCCCTCTTCAACAAGTTGACGATGCGGAATTTGTAGACGATCCCCGGGACGGTGTTTTGTACCCGGAAGTAGTACCATTGTGTGTGACGATTGGTGTGGAGGTCGGTCTTCAGCACCAGCTCATACTCAAACTGACCCCTGTAACATATCATACAATCCTTCATTGAGCCTATATTTATGAAACCGTTCTCGTGCTCAAGCATGGACTCTGCTCAAACTAACTTTCTTGTAACTCGCTTAAATCATGTTAAACAATCAAAAAGTCAAATGTAATCATTGAAAACAGTATTCTGCTCTAAGTCTCTCCAATGTTTTGCAAAATCATTGAGTGACAAAATAAGACTTTCTTATTAATTTATAGTCGGGATAAGAAATTCGGCATCAGCTCAAAATGTATTAACATGAGATGAATTTCATGCATACAGGCCCAGATCTCATACAATTTTTTCACAATGTGAGTTTGGTGTTTATCATACAGAATTGAAACAAGTTTGAGATTGATGATCCTATGTACCAAAACAAAAAACTGCTTGCAGTCAGCTTGCGGCAAGCTTGTAATAAGGTAGTTTTACTCTGTTATAAAACGGCTGTTCATTGGAGTAATTACCCTATTTAACTTTGATAAGCAAATCCAGGATATTCTCCCATACAAATTACAAATTCCGCAATTGCAGGCGATATAGTATTTAAGATATGCTCTGTGAAAGTGATGCATGGAATGATAGACCAATCTAAAATCCTTTCACCCCTAGGTAACTTTAGTAGACTCTACCATGCATTTATGGGGATGAGTCCATTATGGTCTACAGTGGTCAAAGGGTAAAGTGTAAACCAGTCATATGTCATATATTGGTAGTGCAGTTTCATAAGCTCAACAGGGCTTGGAGTTGATTCCTGGTAAAACTTTTAGCCAGAACATTGCGTTAGCAGATTTCTAACTTATATATAACACACACACACACCCTGCTGTTTATCACAGAAAAGTTTGACAGCTAGACAAGAATATGGTAAGATTTCTCACTAAAGCCCCTTAGTGTCCTTCAGGGAAGGGTTTAATAGTGGGAGAAAACCTGAAACTTTTATGGGGAATATTTTAATCAAACATCATCACAACACACTTCTTGTACGTTGTCGTCCTGTAATGCTCATTGATTTTGTCTGTGTGAATGTACACCGCATTAACCATTTTCTGAGCCACGTTGCGTAACATCCTCAGAAAACCTGTATTACACAAGTATCTCAGAGACGTGACGATGAAGTGTTTTTGATAACACCTTACTGGTGGCTTCTAACGTCTAGGAGGTTAATTCAAAACTACCCTTTGCAGTGATTTTGACTGTTTTCTTAATTAATTTTATATTGTTATTGTATAGATTTACATGTCAAATACATACAATAACTTTGTATTAATTTTGATGATGCCTTAATTGAAAGGTAAATCAATACTCAGATATGGTCACACCAAAATGAAAATTTGGAAGAATATTCATATTGGGCAATCGCATTTATACTTAGACCTTAATTGTTCACCTATAGTATGGATGCCTCAGAAAATCAAGACTGTTTTACCTGCATTTTTGCTGATCACTTCACAACAGACATATTTAATTATAAGAGACATGCAAATTATGGTGAGTAATGTATTGTTCCTTAACTTCATACAAAATTTGGTATAAAATATTGACAAAGGGCCATAACTCTGTATAATGTGGTACAAGACCTGATTTTAAAATACGTGATACCCTGTCATTCCAAGAGGAATTCCTGTATAAAATGTGGCAGTCATTGGTGGTAAAGTATAGTATGCTCTGGACAAAGTGATACACTGACTGACTAATAGATTGATGGATGGAGTGCCAACATGAAGCCCCTTACTGGTGTGGTACTAATAAAATAATGTTCATCTCAAATACATATGTTATGCCCCTGTACTGGCCAAGCAGTTCCTTCACATATCCACTGAACTGATCATAAAATTTCACAGAACAAATGAATTCAAAACATCCACGAAATAATAACATGCCCACCATGAAAAAAGACAATTCAACAGTACACAAAATTAAACATTCTTCAAAAAGCATTTCTCACAGATGTCAAATAATTTTAGATGTGATACCCTATATCTGATGAAATGGAGCACGGAATCAATCAATATATATTACTTTTTTGTATAGTATTAAAGATTTTATGAAACCTACCGCCATTTCCCGGACATCTATTAAATGCTTTCTTCACCTCTGTAAGCTAAATGTAATACACCCCATATTTTTTCTTATACCTTTTAGGATTTTCATTCCATATAATTTATTTGTCATCAAATGTTAAGTACCAAATCCTGTTTAACCTATTAAGAAATACCCTTAATGATAAATTATGACAGTATTTAATTTCAAAATGTGTTTGTGAAGATTAGAGCAGTTTTGTTAAGAACCATCATAATTTATTAAACATTTGACTTTACAGAAATATTTCAAAATTGCCACTGCTTAAAATAAACCATCCACTGTTATGTTAGGGGTACTAAAGCCTGTACTTGGGTCAATGTTATTATTAAGCAAAGTTGACATGTTGAGAAATGTTACATTCAGAAGTGTCTTTGTATTATTATTTTTTTTGGAAAAGTTCATTGATGGTTCTCAACATAAAAAGTTAACGTTACCTTTTAAATGTATTTGTTGATATTAACTTTAAAGTATTCCAATGTAACAGATTCTATTGAGACTTGCAGTTATAGGTTAAACCTTACTCATATCTGATAAACCATGTAAAATCATATCATAGTAGAATTTTGATTAAACATATTAAATTCTTACCAAATAATTTATTTGAATTTGTTGACATTCACTACACAGACTATGTAGGAGGCCAGAAGGAAATTGAAATTTGAGTTTGAGTAAAAGGATCATTCCTTCCTTCAGGATTCACAATGATAATTCATATTAGGTATCGTAAATCAGAAGTGAGAGGGTCCAACATTTTTTCCTGCATTAGCTTTCATTGACTGATTAATCACTCACATTTACAAAACTCTTCCCTGTGTGGCACAGCCCATTAAAGAAAAAAATGTCTTATGTTGCATGTGTTAGATAAAAAAGTGAACGTTATCTGATACTGTTTCAGCGTCACTTTCTAAAGGCGATTATTTGATTTCAATACATTAGGTTACTACTTATTTGACCCTGATGAATAATACAATCAAGTAATCCTTTCATGAATATTATCATTTATTTATTTTACCATTGTACTGCCTTTAAATAAACTTAACAACTCAAACTGCTATCAAGCATACCGCCAAGAACTATTACATGTGAATGTTTTCCGATTGGAAACTATTCAGACATTTTTACCATACTGTTAGAATTACAGGGACCATTCATATTAAGACATCAAAATTCAAATTCAGACTTTATAGCCAGATGGAAATGGTTACTACAGCAACATGATCATATTTCAGCAAAATTGGCTTATCCACCATTTGGTAAAGCAGATTGTTCAAAATGCATCATGAACCAACACACCACTCTATGGATTAAATAAAAAAAAATCTTCATTGAGTTAAATATAAAGGATTGAAAGCATATTGATATGAACTCCTATGATCTCAATTAATTTTGGCTCCCTTGATTTTAACAGACATTGATTAACTCCCCTGATTTTAACAGACATTGATTAACTCTCCTGATTTTAACAGACATTGATTAACCTCCTGATTTTAACAGACATTGATTAACTCCCCTGATTTTAACAGACGTTGATTAACTCCCCTGATTTTAACAGACATTGATTAACTCCCCTGATTTTAATTGATATGAACTCATCTGTCCTGATTTTTTTATTGATATAGATTACCTCCCCTGTCCTGATATTGATTGATATTGATAAACTCCCCTAAATTTAATTGATATTGATCATCTCCTGTTTTTTATTGATATGAATTACCTCCCCTGATTTAAACTGACATTGATTAAGTCCCCTGATTTTTATTGATATTTATTAACTCCCTGATCTCTGTTGCTATTGATTACCTTCCATAATCCACATTTACATTGTTAACATCCTCAGATCTCAAATAAGACTGATTAACCCATCTGATCTGAAGTAACTCTGATTATCTCCCCTTATCTTTACTGACAATGATAAACTCCCCTTGAACTCAATCCACATGTATTACATCCACTGATTTTAACCTATCATTACTAAATTAAATGTTTAACATGCAGAATATCATTCCAATATGCGAAATTGATACATACACTCTCCTGGCTTGGCGTAGGTTTCCACTCTCAAACCGCGACTCGAACATGAGGTTCGGACAACAACCATCTGGTACAGGTTGTGGTATACGGTCACGACTACTTCTCTCCGAGTCGTAAACTATCAACACACCTCTCCATTTCCCCGTGTACTGGCTTGACTGATTATCAAACGTCACAGGAAACTGTAGATCTACAAAAACAGGGAAAGAGACACTATAAAGATAAAAGTAAAATAAACCAATATACAGGGGCAGATAATCCTTTATAAATCCATAACATAAATGAACGGGCAAATAAATCTGTAAAATCAAGGATTAAAATATTACAAAAAATGCTTAATTGTGCAAAAACAATGGTAGATAAGTACGCAGAAACAAAGACCGATAACTCTGTAAAAACACCAATACAAAAAACGTAAATTACGATGAAAGTTTTGGGGTTTTGTTTTTAATAATTCAATAATATAACAAAATCCTATGTCAATGCTTCTTTAGAATTTCACAAAAAAATGTTCAAATGAGCAAAATATCTTTCAATTAATCTTCATTGAAAGCTATGACTGAACACCTTGTGTTCCTTTAAACTCACACCTAGTCAAACGAAGTTCAACTCGGTAATAACATGGCAGCTATCATTATAGAATATTTCATAAAATTAAATGAACACCAACCTGAAATCGATATGATATTGATTTAATACTTTCAACAGCGATAATTTCCTGTCCATTACAATTCTGACACCTCAACAAACACTTAACCCGTGATTTTTATGACAAACTGTCAACATTACACCTGACAGATATGCTATGCGAATTGATATGAGATTACAGGTACACATTGAAACTTAATTAAATCCATGGATCAGTTACAATGTTGCTTTGCTAAGATAGTTTTCATGCAGTATAGATGATAAATGTCATTTTCCTCTGATTGAATTTCAATTAAGTTCAGGAATAAATCAATTGCTTGCTTTTTTTTTTTTTTTTTAAACATAAAATTGTAGCCCATAAATTTATTTCTAACATGTGCCCATCAGTTCAAATTTAATTTAATTTACAAAACTTAAAATGTAAGGAACTACTTTATCTACTATGACCATGCTTTTAATAATGTACTCGCATGCTTTTTGTACAAAAATGTACATCAGCTAACAGCACAAGCTGTCAATAACACACTAGTTTTAAGAGCAGTCAACGGAGATAACCACTGAGCTATACCTATTTTATGCTAGAAACCATTGAGCTATACCTATTTTATGCTAGAAACCATTGAGCTATACATATTTTATGCTAGAAACCACTGAGCTATACATATTTTATGCTAGAAACCACTGAGCTATACCTATTTTATGCTAGAAACATAACATGTTTTGTCACACAATCTAATTTAACTTCATCTCTTGACATACTTTGCAAGTACTTTAGCACTAAATGCTAAGTGCTATAATAAATATTATGTAAAGAATGGTAAAATAATAAAAAAAAATCCAGCAATAAGCCCATGTCTGGTAATTAGCCCTCTTATATCTTTAGCAATTACAGTAGAAATACCAACATATTTTATTTCCTTGGCCTGTAATACGCCCACCCCACCTGCTTTGAGTAAAGAGATTGCTATCAGCTCCTAGGCTTATTTGAGGATAAACACAGTACATGTATTAAATTAAATTCTGAAATCAAATAGTAAAATATCACCTGGAAACATGAGTAAACGATTGAGATGTTTTGCTGGAGAAATGTCTACCAACTGATTATCTGAACATCAGCAAAGTATTAGCTTACTCTTAGCAACATAGGACATTAACCCTAAGACTCCTATGTAACTTTAGTAGACTCTACCACGCATTGATCTGGATGAGTCCATTTTGGTCTACAGTGGTGAAAGGGTTAATATCCTCAATCAGAGGTGATAATGACAATTGGAACCATTTAATCTCATGGAAACCTCATTTCACAGACATTTTGATCCAGAAATCAAAACACTTCAATGACAATTAATGTTTCAAATGTCCATCCAGAAAATCTCTTATTGAATGTAGGAAATCAGATTTTCTTGATCAATGAGAAATGTGTACATCTGTCAAGGTCAAAATGACTAGTTGTTCAAATTGTCAACTTGACCTTGGTTAAGAAAATCAATGTCAAGGTCATTACATGTTATATAACATATGTAATAAGTCTAAAGACGCAGACATATATATCAGCAATAAAATCATTCTAAATAAGATTTGATGAAAAATCTTAATCTATTTAATTACCAACAAGCAACAAACTAAAAAAAGAAAATTAAAACAACAAATTATCATTTCGTTTTCTACCCCTGCAATCAAAAATCTTTAAACGAATCTTATTATGACTTACCAGTATGTGGATGGAATAAGGCTCCTTAATACATAGAATCAAAAACTTACCATGGTCTTTTTTATGGAGAAGGGATCCTTAATACTTGGAGCAACCTAGTACATCAACTTACCATGAGCATGCCTTCTGGCGAGGGGCTCCTTATACTTTGGAGACGTATTCAGATGTTTTGGTGTTTCTAACACCTCACTGTCATAGAATTTGGGCCAGTACGGTCCATACGGCCAGAATTTAATATCCGGTGGTCGAGTTTTATATCGTGAGATAAACTCCTCGAGTTGTTCCGAGTAATTCCAGTAACTTGTCTTCAACAGTTTATTCTGAGCCTGGATCGTGTCCAGACTACCCTTAGACAAATTCACCATCATACTGTCGGTCATCGTCTGTCCAGTTCCCACCAATAATGACCAATCATATTCCCTGTTTTAGCCACAGATTATCATCCAAATATATTATGCAAGTATGTAACCCTCCTGGTTAGTTTCACAAATTCTACTACATTCTAAAACATCATTGATTGTCTCCTACATGGAACGTTTTATAAAATATCAATCACATAAAGATGAATATTTAAATCCATATTGGGGAAAAATGAAAAAAAATCTTTGCAGTCTGTCAGAACTGTTTCAATTTGAAGCTTTGGTTGCTAGGCAACACAGTATCAAGGTTCACATAATATTCCATATCACTTGTCATAAATCCATTAAAGGTTTTGTGAGTATTTCACACTTCAGAACTTTAAACCAAAGAAATTGCGAGAATGAAGTTTCAGGTCCAACCAATGGGAATCATCCTTTCCATTAATTTCTTCTTTAAATGTCAATGTTGTAATAAATACTTAAAAACAGTTTCTATTTAACCCAACAGATCTCCACAATTCACTGATTTGCAAACATGCTATTTACGACCACTGTTTGTACATTTCCGTTGAACAGGATACACATGGCCTTATTTTCCTTCTCAGTTGAATGTTAATCACTTTGACTTTTAGCAAAAAGGTAAGCAGGATCCGACGTAATTTTTATGTGTCCTCAATCCCAATGTTCAGAACTGTTTCCAAGTTCTCACCGTAAAGAAATTGCACAATGTATAATCACCTTAAGAGTGTTTAAAATCCAGAAATCAATTTGAATTGTTCAGCTTAAACCACTTTAAGATAACATTGTTACTCCCGTTAATTTATTGAGTCCATAAACTATCCACTTTCTATCCAACTTTTTCATGAAAAACATCACCTTCTTGAAAACTGACAAACACAACTTTCATATACCTACATCCGTAAAATTTGTCACAATCAACACTGTTTTCATTAAATGTTTCCAAAAAAACCATACACATACCTTTAAAACATCAAACTAGACATCCAATAATAGTACCAGCATTATACCGACAAAATATTTTTCTTATCTGATGAGCACTGTGTGTTTCCACACATGAAAGTGAATGGGCCTTAATATGCAACCAACACAAAGGCAGTGTGTCTTAAGTCTCGCAACCACACAAAAAACGGTTTGAGTCCTCGTAAATACAAACGGCCTTTCTCCGACAACACTGTTGTATTGTGTGTGCGATTATTAAATTACTTTCCTATTAAGTCGGGGCTATACTTAAGGTGTTTCTAATTAGGCATGACGGAGTAACAAAATGTAGCGGTTATTTCCGAACATCGTCAATACTTTAACTGAACAATATTGTTCATATGACAAGGCAATTTTTCTACTTTTTTACTTTTTTATAATTGACTGTTATTTTTGTGTTGACATAAGAAATTACTGTATTGGGTTGTTGTTTCTTCAAGTATAGCTCTCTGCTTCTGCACAAGATTTTTTTTATTTGATTTTAATCAAAATTTGTATGAAAGAAACTTTATACCTATTGTGACCATATATATAGCTACCTGTCACAAGCGTCTCGTTTAAACTATCGCACTGATCAAATTTTCTTTCAGTAACACTATTTAAACCTTATGCATTGTCACATTTATTTAACAAATCTAATATCTTTTTGATCAAAATCTATTGCAATTACACTTATGCTGATGAATCTATCATTTTAAATATTATTTTATTAAATGTTACACAAAAAAGGTAAGTTTTCTTTTCAAATTAAATAGAGCACCTGCTACTTAGGTTCAAATGAATAGAAAGAGTCACAAATAGCCTGTCACAAATAGCCTGTCATCAATAATACGTAAACTTTGCACCAAATCACCCGACATTTGTGGCCTATCGGGTCAAAATTATTCATGAAATTTTACAGTTGAGTAATTCCATCTAATGGAGTATATGAGTCTATAAATCACGGATCAGTTTTGGGTTTTAAAGGATTTTTATATATATCCAGTCATCCTCGTCCTCTAAATCACCTCCATTAGTGTATTCGCGTAGCTACTTATATTGCACAATAACACTTACATGGTTACAACTTCACAAATAACATCCAACGTAGGTAAACGTTCAATATATCCGAAGTGAAAAGAATGGCAGAATCTTTGGTTTTCTCGCAAATAATAAATAAAATAATCTAAGAGTAATATGAATTTGCATCAAACAGCATCAAAGAAAATTTTGATCAGCTGCTTTTGGATTTTGTTACAGGTTTTATTGCACTGTTGACTGATGTCCCATCAGACTCTTTCTTGTCCTTTTCCGTCGCGGCCTCGTCAGACGATTCCTTGTGCTCTCTCAAGGCTGCTCGTTGTCGCTGACGTGAAAGCGAGGCTGATGAAAGATACAGATGAGCTATAGTAAAAGATTTCCGTCGGAACTGATTTCCGTCTAAGTTATGTATTCGTATAGTTTGAGTCTGTCTGTTCGTCCCACCGCTTTTGTCCTGTCCTGAACTCATCATTTGTCGCGAGCTACCAACGTCTGTCCGTCTCGTCAACAGAACTGAACTCATAATGTGCCAACAGCAGAAGATTGCAGATCAATTTTCCGAAGAGTTTTTTATCGGTTAATAATACACAATTGATGTTATCAGGCATTGAAGGGCCCGACTGTAAAAAACGAATAAATACCGACATTTATTGCCTCAGTACAAAATGTTGACAGTTACCTGTAAAATTCCGTTGTAGCAATTAAAGGGAAAAAATGACAAGTAATTGCCCACAAATGTCTTTCTAATGGAGGCGTACAACAACTGTATCAGTTCAAAGATCTATCACATTGCGTACTACGGTCAGAAGGTAGAAATATTTACCAGCTATTGAAGTAGCATCGCCCAACAACATATCAAAGCAGCCTTTATACATGAAATCCAACTGTTAGATGAGATTAATGGATTCTTATTCTTCAGGGAAATTTACAATAACACAGCATCTCTTCACTGGTTCCAAACATTTCTATGAATAAGATTTCATGGAGTTCGCCATATAGAGATAATCTTAACGTCCTTTTCCAAATTTCAGTCTATTAAAACTTGATCTGCATTGATCAATTCCAGAAATCACATTTAATAATGCATAGCACACATCGTACAAATCCAAGAATATGCTGTGTCAAAAAACTCCACCAGCACAAAACCAACAGACAGTGTACTTTGTGTATTTGTTCAGTTTCACTGTGGAATGATCGGTCACAGCAAATATACTAGTATGAAGTGTATCAAGGTGTGGACACAAATGTTTGTTCATTACAGGAATCCTTTACCTCACTATTTAAATGTACACAAAATCAAGGTCACAAGCACTTTTAAGATTTTCCAACAGGTTACACAAACTTAATACCTTGCTCTTGAGGATATCACGGCCAATTACTCTTAAAACACTGGAAAAACTTTGGGAGAATATTTGTTTTCCGTGTCAGGCTTTACAGGTATATTCCAGTACAGGTCCTCGTTCGCTCATCCAATTCAAAATGTAAATGGTTGTTGGAGAATCGTTATCAGTGAGTTGAAGGTCCACTACCATAGGGAGTAGCACGAAACATGCATATTGGGGCACTTATCTGGAGGGAAAGTCCTCCACTGGTAGTCTGTCTACTCAAGTATCGCCAGAATACGGGGCTACTTAACAAACAGTCATGTCCACACCGTTTAACCGGTTTAATTCCCTATACACACCGTAGTATGGGGAAACCAAACGTCCACTTGAATTATGAATATTTGTAGACAACGATCCGGCCGAGTCAATTCTCCGGTGATAGAAATAATAATAATCCAACATGCCACTTTATTCATATTACCCTGTTGTGAATTTGAATAAAACTTGGCCTCTTTTCATCCCAAAACCAACAGTTTAAAAGTCACAGCAGTTTTACGCTTGTGTACAAATACCTAACCAGTAATACACAATGTACATACGATGGTTCTAATAATATGCTGAATTCTATTTTTTCTGCCTCAAAGTCTTTTGGAGTAAATGTACATTTTCTCCATGTCCATGGCAAAGCCAAATCTCGGTACCATTAAGTAATTTTTAAGTGCCTATTCCAGAGTAAAACCCAATCTTAGCAATTTTACTTGCAAATCAAATGCACAGAATCTCCGATATCACTACTATCATCCTAGACCGCCTAATCTTCTTCTTCAGAAAATTTCATTTAAAATGCCAACTGCATTGTATACGGGGAGTATAAAATTCAATCAAAATTCTATTAACACTGCAAGACACCCATATAAAGCCCTAATAAATGTGATCATGTATATTTCAGTTATTGGTTTAAATTTCAAATCACCTCTCCAAAAATCTTAAAACGATTCTTACATATTTACTTGGTGACAAATGTCTTCTTTTATCCCAGATCTTAAAGAGTTCTTGGGATTTGTTACTGCCAAAGAAAAATCAATTCAAAATGTTATTAATATGCAATTTTTCAAAGGAAATCTACCAAACAGACTTAATGAACTTAAAAATCCATATTTTATCACCAAATAGACTTGTCAATGCTTGCTTAATCAATCTTGTTTCTGTAAATCTCTTGGAAAATTCTTATTTTTCAGGATATTTTTCCTTTAGATAAAGAAAATCTGAAAAGGTCATGAGCGCAATATCGCTTCCAACACATTTGTATAAACATCAATCTTCTCAAGTACACCACTAGCTATTTTGATAGTCAGCGTACGCCAAAATTGATTCTAATTTTCACACCTATTCAACACAGTGATCGTTTGATAGCTACATTAATTAAGTGTTTATCAAAAAGAACAAATTTACAAAGAATATTAAATTCCAAGGTGATCAAATGGAAGAAGAAATTTGTTATAAACTATGACCTTCGAATGCGTCAATTGCTTTTTATTAGATATCAAATGTCATAGAATTTGGGAAATGAACATATTAACACTTTTTATTTCTAAGACTAAGGTTCAGTTATTGTCAAAAGGATAAGGATTACTGGTTAAAACTGTGGTATATTGCTAATTGAATTAGTTCAAACCTATTTACCCTATCATAGTATAGGCTATGTTTCTTAGATAATTTTTAATTGAAAAGGACTGAAGAATTAAGTGTATTAAATAGGTTTTAGGGCAATGGACGATAAAAGTTATATAGTACAAAGAGATGAGTTCAAATAAAATTCCTTCAGTTTAAATAGTGCAGTGTGTCAATGCGTGATTTTATCTGATGGGCAAGAACTGTAATTTAAGTCACAGCACGTTTTTTATCCAGTATTATAGTCAAGCATAAAGCCACATCATTTTTCTATCCAATGAGTCCAGAATAAAGCCGCACCAAGTTTGTATAAGAATGGTCAAGCATAAAACCACACATTGTTTTTATCCAAATGGTCAAGCATAAAACCACACATTGTTTTTATCCCGATGGTCAAGCATAAAACCACACCTTTTTATCCAATTGGTCAAGTTTAACACCACACCACGTTTTTATCCAAAGGGTCAAGTTTAACGCCACACCACGTTTTTATCCAAAGGGTCAAGTTTAACGCCACACCACGTTTTTATCCAAAGGGTCAAGTTTAAGGCCACACCACGTTTTATCCAATGGGTCAAGTGTAAAGTCGCTACAAGTTTGTATCCTTTGGGTCAAGAGTTTTAAGCCATTTCAAGTTTCCAACAAGTCCACAATATAAATTGTAACTGTCGAGATCAACCTTGTCGACAATGACATGTATTCACAGCTAGCTTCTGTTAACTAGCTTTGTAAACTGTCTCTAGAAAATACTTAAAACAGAACCTTCCTACCTGTCATTCTCTCCGCATTATTTCTTTAAACTGTGTCATTTGAACGCTTCATTAGTTAACCGTAACTCCTTAGCATTAAAGAGTTACTAAATATTAAATAGCAGGAATAAAAATATTTACCTACATGTAAATATTGATGTACACGTATGTAAAAACTTGGTCGAGTATGAACTGTTGCTACACTGCTCTTTAAAGCATGTCCCTGGGGAACTCTAAGTGTGCTTATTATGAAATCAAAGTTTGTATGAAGTGAACATCGCTTTTCAACAGAACAACAATATTTTGCCACAAATAGCGTGGTAATTAGCTTAAAAGGACAAAACACGTCCAACTAATTTTCAGCCGTTCTGATCATGTCTAAGATTGCGATCTGCTCGACTCGAGTTTCCTGGCTAACGGTACTGAATGTACTAAAGGCTAGCTATTAAAGATAAATGTCGTCATGTTCAACAAGGTTTGATACGCACATTTTTTAAATAAGTTCATATAACATCTCAATTGTAACACTTTTCCTTGATTCGTCACTTGAGCAAAACAAAATTTGAACATTTAATTGTCCATTATTTAATCCTGATCAACTTCAGTGTATACCAAAGTACAATGTTTTTAAAACTGGTTGCTGACAATTCTACGGTCCACCGTTGTCTCCTACACAAGTTCTGTTTGAAATGACCAAGTTAATGCTTTAAGAAATAGGAAATAAAATTCAGTCAGATTTTGGAGACTGACTAAGTTACCAATTGTCCAATAGGAATGACAGTGCTGCCTAACATTCCAAACCTCTTAAAGATCTTCTGTAAAATCTCGCACTAATTTTCAGACATCAAAATGAATTCTCCGCAAAACTGAATCATTGTAAATGGAAACGCCAAGAGACCGACCTCCACCAATACCGAAAACCTTGTTCGACAATTCCCGATTATAAATTTGACAGGTGGTTTTATGTCAAAAGTTCTCAAAACGCAAGCCTCGTGTGGCAGCGCTTGTTTGTGCTGACTTGGTCTCTTGTAACAATTGTAGGGCGACTTAATTTAAACACTATAGATCTTCTGCTTTCAAAATTAATTTACATTGGTACTTCAAATTTTGTTCTACAAAGAATGGCGGTATCGGTATTTGAAGAATTAATATTGTCACACTTACTCTTGGTGAATATATGTGTTTCTATCAAATAACTCACTCAATTTTTATGTCACAGACAAACAAAGTGTCCATGTCTTATTGATTTTTTTTTCTATGGAGTCGTTTCAAAGCTGTAAAAGAGTCGGGAAAGTTTTGTAGTTGCAGGTAACTGTTTTTGTTTAAAATAAGGTCAGCTTTTCAAAGACCATTCCCAAAATTAATAACTCTGCAAATCCAATATCTCCTGAACTTTGCTGATTAAATATTCTTCAGTTGCAAAAAAACAAACACTTTATCGTTTAATTTGCCCATCTCACAAATTTACGATCTTACTAATCTTCACCTTAAAGAATAAATACTGTGTCTTTGAAATTACACTGAATTCACATCAAGGTGTCAAAGTTCACAGGCAACATAGAATTAATGGAATCCAAAGAGCCTGCCACCGTACACACAGAGTAGATCTACAGAAACCATGTTGTCTCTCATACAAATCATTCTTGACAGTTTCTTGTTACTTGATTTTGAAAATGTTCAAATCGTTTTTGAAGAAATTCCACAAAATTCTGACTTGACTACCAAATCAGTACATGATGTATTCACAATCGGACATCAACGGATCTTTAATCAATACTTTTGTTGATTTTCCTGTTGTGACAAAGATATATTAAGTTTTGAATGATTTTTTTTGATGACATAGCTAAGCTTCTTTTGAAAGAAATCAATCTTTCTAAGGAATTTTCTGAGTTTCACACCTCTTAAACTTGAATGGTATCACCCAAAATAAAGACTGGATGAGTTTATTACCTAGAAACGGGGCAATATTTAGTTTCAGTTTTAAATATTTGAAAATAAATTCAAGATCACACTTTATAAACAGGTGTAGTGTACTTTAGCAGGTCTAGATCACGTCAAGGAGATAAACAGTGACATTTAATTGGTCCGTACATGATAGCAATAGAAATAGCAATTGGGTCTTTCTAGTCGTAAACAAATAAACAAATTTTATATGATTATATTATGAATTCCACTTGCTGTGTCAGTTTGCCTCATAATTG